GGCAGAAATCTTGTTTGGTATGTATCCTTAATGGTATTTTAAAGTTTCTTTCCGGGAAACCTATTTAGAAAGATTGATGACTTACTCAGGCACTTACTGTACAGATGCATATTCATTTGATTCCTATGGGACCAGCTTGTGAATTTTAAATTTGGCCAAATAGTTAACAAGTCAAAACAGACTAGGCTTTGCAAGGAATGGCAGGTTCTCCAGCTTTCCTTTTTTCAAATACATTTATGTACATTCAGGCATATTGATTTGCTCCTGACTTGAGCTTTTCTACCCCATATCTTGGAAATTTTATTTATCTAATGCTTTAAGATAATCGAAACTCAAACAAAGAATTGCTTATAGAAGAAAAAAAAGACAAACAATAAAATATGAAACACAATAAATACACACACACAAAAAAACATTGGATTCAAGATAAGGTTTAAAAGTAGACAATGAAGCTACCTCTTTAATGTGCAGGGGGAGGCTATTCTACAGTTAAGGAGCAACAAAAAAGCATCATACCAGAAGCTTCTCTACTAAATATGTGAATTTTTTGTACTGCTGTAAAATAAAAAAGCCCTCAAATTTTTATATAATGGGACTTTCGAAGAATTAAGTTTGAATTTAAGTTTTATCTATCATGTGATGAAACAAACAATTCTCCCCAAACTGTATTATTATTTTTTTCAGCTTCCAAAGATTTAATCTCACTGGATTTTTTTTATTTTTTTGCCATGAAAAAAGCATACAATGTATGGAGGAATCTAATTTTCATCACATTTAGGGCTGAAACAATTGATCTGATTAACCGTGATTAATCGATTACTGAAATAATCATCAACTAATTTAGTAATCGTTAATTGAGGTATAGAGTCTCTAAAGCATGACTTTAGCTGAAGGAGCACCCCACTTCTATAAAAAAGATATATAAACATTTTGCATTTAAGATTTAAAAAAAAAAATGTTTTGTGTCATGAATCTTCCCTTTGTGGACTTTTTGGTTCTGTTTAAGTTTCTTTTGTTGAGTTTTCATGTACATTTTTATTTATGTAATTTTATATATATTTGGCAATTGATTTCTTTTCCATTTTATGTCATTGTACCTGTTTTCTAGTTATATTTAAGCAGTGTTGTGTTTCTTGTGTTGCTCTCTGTTTCCCCCTTGTGCCATTCTCCTTTCTCCTAGCTCCCCTCTAGTTGCTTCTATCCACACCTGCTCCCTATTAGCTGATTACCACAGTCTTTGTTCTGTCTTCCATATATACAGTTCCTGTCCATTTCCTCAGTGCTGGTTTCTCTGCATTGCTTTGATTCTCATGTGTGGTTACCCCTGTCATCTCCTGGTTTTGATTTTTTGTTTTTGGTTCCTGGATTAGTTTTTCTGTTGCCACCTGCATCCAAATAAATGTGCAAAAACTTATCTCTGCATTTGGGTACTCAACCAACTTCCTACACCCCGACAAATTGTCTTTTATTATGCTCTATCCAGAACTCCTCAAGTGGAAAAAATGTGATCTAACCTGGTTTCATTTCGTAAAAAATCTTTGGCCAACTGACTAATCAAATTGCTAAATAATCATTAGTTGCAGCCCTAATCAAATATATACTGTGGCATTCAAAAGCTGGTTAATTGTAGGCATGTGCAATTATGAGGCTCTTAATGATCTATTTGAACACATTTTTCTTTTCTATTTATTGCAAACTACCAGCTGAAAGTTTTTATGAAACAGTAAAATATGCTGCAAACACATGAATGATGCAAATCACAAAACAGGTCAAACATATATATTTTATAATGACATAAAGCAGCAGCTACTCGTTTTATTTACCAAGAAGGTAAAAAAAAAAACTAAAAGTAGATTCAATTAAAGTGAAATTAGCAAGCTCACCTTTAATACACTACACTCAAAAGTTGGATTCAAGTGCAAATTTTAAACCCTTTAACGTTGCCTTTATTTATTTAGGTTAAGGTTGTTGGCTAAGAAGACCAGTCTAGCTGAGCAATATGTGTAATGCTAAGGTATACTGTCTTTATTTTTATTTTTTTTATGCTTATCCTATTTTCAAACTGCTGCTTTAGATTGGCCATCTAAACGCTGAGTTAACTTTTTATTGTCATCGTCTTGGGGGTTCAGTCTTATTACTTTCAAATTGGTTTGAGAAAGAACAGCGTGCAACAGAAAAAAAATATAATTTTTCAATGATTAATAAATGAAACTGAAACATAAAATTTATGTCCTTCCTGCGAGAGGAGGTCCAGGAATGTTTTAGCGGACCCACTATAGACTTTGTATTTTACAGTTCTATCAAGGCCAACCACTGAGACTGAATATGATATTGAATATACTATAGCCAGAGCTGGTGAAATATTGCAAATTCATTATATGTGAAGGGCTGCTTTGGAGCCATAAATGTTAGGAATGAGATTGAAATTGAAAAGTTCTTTGGAACAAATATCATAAAACTCTTTTTTCCATACATATCTGGCCACAATTCAATAACGCTGTTCCTCTGCTAAATTCATTTTGTCACATAAAAAATGTCACATGCGCGTAAAAAGTGTAATTATGGTTTCTCAAATGTCATGTCAGTCATTTGTTTTACTGATCATATAATGCATGTGAAGCGGCAGTCCCTGCAGACTCGTAATATGTTTTGAAACGTATTCATACAGGAAGTAGACTCAGGCGAGTTTTACAATTTTGTGAGTTTAGGACTTTTTAGGCAAAGAATAATGCTCATTTTCTAAACTTCCATTTAGTAAGAATGATAATAGTAATTAGGTCCCAGATGACTGCGTTTGCCTTTGTTTGTCTAGATTTGCTCAATGCCATCTGACACATCATCCTGGCAAATAGAAATAAATGGTCGGCTTAACATACAGATGAACAAACAAGTGTGTCCTCTGGCTATGACTTAGAGTGAAGGTGTTAGGCATCACAGCACTTAGCAGGACTGATAACACACTATCACTTTTGTCCTTCACAATGTGTTTGCGAATTGTCGAGGGGATTACTAATTCTGAAGGACAATGGAGTCCTCTTGCCTTTTGTCACTGGAGAATATTTGCTGGTACATCATTCTTCTTTTTTGTTTTTTTGCATTTTTTGTTTTATTTTTTTGACAGATTTTGAGGTTTTCTCCTATTTTTCAGGGCATTCTGCAATATGCTGCCTGGCACCTGTTCTTTTTTTTTCTGTGACACCAAATGTTTTAAATAATTAAAATGGTCAATACATGCTTGTTTATGGGAAGAGATTGCAGGAATGACTATAATTTCAATCATATGCAGTACTGCACCATTTCAGGAATATTATGTTATCCATGCTGACATGAAAAAAATGCTCTTTTGGATGATTGTGGCTTAGAACTAATTGATACCCACTATTCATCTCAGAAAAGTCAGTATTACACAAAACCAATAGAAGCTTTTTTACATTGTGGCCAACACAACGATGACAGCTGACTTTACTGTTGTCAACTAAGCAGTTTTTGACATCCCACTCAAGCAGATTAAGCAACAAAATATTCATCAATGAGCTGGGCATTAAACAATATAAGCATTCAAATATATAACATGAAATTTAGTGGATGGAAAAACTTAGCCATATATGATGAAGTCAGCCATAAGAGGGTTGAAACATAGAGCCCTTAGGTGGTTAGAAAAGTTCAAGGTGTGGATCTCAGCTAAGGTGAGTGCTTCATAAGTCACCATGAAAAGTGAATAGCGGACATATACATGGTGTATGGCTGTCACATTCCTTTTCTGCATCACCAAACCAGAGACAACATTGGAAGCATCTAATCTGGGCTCAGTAGCAAATTGCTTAGTGGTCCAAATAAATCTTATCAGATGAAGCTAAACTTTGCATTTCATTTGGTAATCAAAGTCAAAGACTCTGGAGGAAGCGTAAAGAGGCTCTCCATCTAAGTTGTGGTCCCAAGCTAATTTTCCACTGTCAGTGAAGATTAGGGGAGCCATGTCATTTGCTGGCGTTGTGACTGTGTGACTTAGCTGTCTACCAGAACATTTTAGAGCACCTTATGTTTCGCTCTGCTGATAAGCTTTACAGACATTCTGATTTTATTTTTCCAGATGGACTTAGTACCTGTCAGCCTCCAAGCAATGCCAGAACAGGTTTAATGACCATGAAATCACTTTGCTTGGTTGGCCAGCAAACTGGCCAAACCTAAACCCCCGGAGAAACTATGAAGTATTGTCAAGGGAAAGAGGAGAGACACCAGAATCAACGCTGGAGATGCCGAAGGCCACAACTGAAGCACCTGTCATGAACACCTTTGTAGAACCACAGGCCCGTCACCTCCATAGCACACTACATTGATGCAGTAAATCATGCGAGCCCCAATCAAGAGTGCATATACTGTACAGAACACGGACAGCGGGTAGACCTTTCTGTAGAAAAACTCCTTCTGTTGGAATTCAATTGTCAGAGAAACTGAATTTTTGATTAGAACTTGTTTTAACTCGAATCATTAAACTCAACAAAACAAATTTTAATTACTTAAGTTCTGAGCACTAAAGAAATAAACCAGAATGCATAATAAGCCTAGAATCATGTTGGTTGTTGAAGCGCCTTTAGATAAAACCTGCTTTTAAGTTTTAAGAAGTTGTTCTATATTTGTAACAAGTGCAGCACAAGTTAATGAATTTAAGATGAAGTCTCAAAAAGAACACTATGCAAACCAGGCCATATGGTGTGCAGTGTGTGCTTTTCATAATGTAGGATTTGACGTACCATGGAGATTTGTAGAGACTTATTGATAAGCTGTTTTTACTCGGAATACATTTTTTTTCTGCAGGTTTTGCATAACTGCTCTTTATGTTTTTAACAAAAAAAATGTCATTGCTTAATAGGTTTGTTTAATTCTTTAAAACAAAAAAGGAAGGAAGATTTTCATCTGGAATGAAAGAAAAGATGGAGGCTAGCGATATATGCTGGTTTCTAATATCTTGAATCCTTCTTTCTTAACCTTTTCCAGGTGTCATGGGTGAATATGAGCCCAAAATTGAAGTGCATTTCCCCACATCTGTAATGGCTGCCAAAGGAGTGACTGTCAGGCTGGAGTGCTTTGCTCTGGGAAAGTAAGTAAAAACCTACAAAGTGCATGGAAATTGATAATTGTTTTATTAATCACCAGAAGGACTGAACTGCAGCCTCTCATATCTAAACATGAAGATCCGTTAGATAGCGCTGCCTTGTCTTATTCTCTCCTCTTTCTGAAATTGCATTATTCCAATACCTGACTGGAACAAGGCACATCTTGACTGCAGGCAATACAGTAGGTTAAGTGAGTGTTGAGAAGTGCAGCATCAGGGCTCTGCTATTAGAAGGCATGTTAGTGCAATAGTTGGGTGGTAAGAAGCCTGAATGGGGAATTCAGCCCCAGGGTTCCCTGGGTTCTTATAATTGAAAGCCCTAATGTATCCATGCTTCCTGGTTGCTTTTGGGGTCTGTTGAGAAAGAAAAGTAAAGCTCATATTAGTTTTGGAAAAAAAATAAATAATGGTCACCTGCCAGAACAGAGAAATCTGTTTTATCCATAGAAAAAACACCCACTTATACACTATACGATATTATTATACTATGTTTTTTTGCTGTTGTCAAAAGAGAACCAATATGTTATTTCGTTCACTGCGGTATAAATCAGCACAAATCAAAATGGGGTTTAATGTTTTTTGAAGATCATACAATGAATCAATCAGGAAAACGTTATCTAAAGAGTACTTCTCATACAGCCCAGTGTAACTCTTGGTGTTAAGGTTTAAAACAGATGGGCAGGCATAAAACTACAAGACAAAAAATTAAAAAGATCAACCTAAATAAAGACATTAAAAACAGAGTTAAAAGACAAATTTAATAAAAAGGATTATTCAATTACCGTTGAGAAAGAGGAGACTTTAGAAATATAAATGTGTTGATTGGTAAAGAAAGAGATAATAAGGAAAACTCTGAATGTGCAATTAATTATTATTCAATCCTCCTGTTGAATCCTTTGTAGATCCATCATTCACAGCAATCCTTCTACTACAATATCTCTGTACTTGGTTTATACATTTTAAAACTCAGATGTTTTCTCTTTGCAATTTATCTTAATCCCAGGCAGTTTGAGAAATAGGTTTTAATGCCTTTGAATACCACCTATTTACTGTGGTTAATATTATGTCTGGGCTTTGAGTGGACCATTTTAACATATGAATATATGTTGACATAAGCTACTTCACTGCAGTTCAGAGTGTGTGTTAAGTGTTTTTGTTCTGCAGAGAGAAGGAATCACATCCCACTCTTAGGTTTTAGTTTTTTTGTTTGTTTTTTTTTTTTTTTTTTTTTCAGCCTTTAAAACCATTGTGTGTTCCAGGTTTCCTGTCTCACCCTACATATTATCTATGGCCAAAACATGTTTGCATTTTAATCAGTTTGACTGGAACTCCCTTTTCCACATTTTTGCAGGAGATGTTCCACATTTCTTTGGAAACTTTAAAACTTTACACACACACACACACACACACACACATATATATATATATCTATATAGATATATATATCTATATAGATATATATACACACATGCACTGCAAAAACGATCTAGAAATAAGTAAAATGTCTTAAATTAAGTTTATTTAGCCTTAATGTCAGCAGGTAAATAAAATCATCTGCCAGTGGCAGTATTTTTACTCTTAAAATAAAATAATTAGATATTATGAACTTGAAATAAGATTACATTGTCAACGTGTATCATTTACCTCCTCAATTCAAGAAAAAATGCACTTATTTTAAGAAAATAAGTGCAATTTTGTTGTGTGTATATATATATACATACACATATATATATAGTGCCTAATTAAATCCTGTCATTCTGACAGATTCTCCCTCCTGAGATCTAAATCATGGTAGCTCCTCCAGAGTAACCAGAAACCTGTTGGTTGCTACTCTGATAAATACCTGTGTCTGGCTGGTCAGTTTACGACAACTTTTTTGTGGTGGATTTCCAGTTGATCTTCAATAATGATGCTGTTAGATGCTGTTTAAGCTCTTTAAGGAGTTATTTTTGTACAGCTGACAAGCCATTCTTTGCATCAAGCAACCTGAATTAGGTTTACTATGGTACCGTCTTAGCTTTAACAACCTTTACAGATGACTAAATTGAATTTGAATTTGTTCCAATAAAAAGCCTGAGTGGATTTAAAATAGTTATTGTTACTTTGATTAGTTGTTTTGTAAATGAAGACACTGAACTATCATCTCCCATTGTTAAGCATTTCTTTTTAAGGTGAGCGGAGGTTTCTGACTTTCTGCTGAACAGCCAAACAGCTTCTGCTCCTGCCTTTTGCTTTGCTCATTGAAGTAATTTTTGTGTGATGGCTTTCAGTCCGGCAATGATCTCACGGAGTCCCTCATGTACGCAGAGATGAATGATTCATCAATGCACCAAATTAAGACATGCCAGTCTTTATATAGCCCTGAAAATGAAGTTAAAATGGGTTTGCACCACTGTTGATCAATATGTATGATGGCACCACTACACTGCAAGGGCATGAAAGGCTCTTTGTTTATTACTGCCAAAGCTCCTTAATGATATTGCCTATTTGATATTTACCAGTGACTGCGCTTTGGGAAGCCATTTTCAAGGTTAAAGAGAACGGGAGAAGGATTGAAGTAAAAAGGTGGAGCAAAAAACAATTCCTTTTTTTTAAGAGTCTGATTTCAGGACATCAAGCAGTGTTTATCTTTTAAAGCTGCTGCTGCCATTAATATACAGTGGCACTGAGATAGTTAGGGATTGCTACCTGAATGGCATGCTGTAGTTCTTTCCTTTGGGATTCAGTATATACGACTGAATCTCAAAGGAAAGAGCTAAAAACACCATCCCAGAATATTTGCTCAAAAACCGCATAAGGTAGCAAAAGTCTCCATGAAGAAGCATGAAAGGACAAATAAATGTGTGACTAAAAACTGATAACGCTTTTGCTTTTTTAAAATTAAATCCAGTGGCCTCCTATATTTACCATGTGGGATGTTACTCCTTAAAAATAATTTATGTTAAGCAATTTCACCTCTAACACAGGTGCTACTGTAGATCTTCAAATATTAAAGGTATAGTGGAGGATTTTCGCAAAGTTTTGAAAAGACCCGTCCTCTCAGCTTTTGACAAAAAATGCACATGCAATTCAATTCAGCTTATTTATATAGCGCCATTTCACAACACAAGTTATTTCAAGGTACTTTGTAGTTCAACCAGAACATACAGTCAAATTGATTCAAAGTTTTCTATCTAAGGAAAACCAGTTGATTACATTGACTCATTGACTCAAATACAATCCCTCACACTAAGCATACTTGTAGCGACAGTGGAGAGGAAAAACTCCCTTTTAACAGGAAGAAACCTCCAGCAGAACCCTGTACCCACTCCTCAGAGGGAACGCCGTTTAAAAGTTCCATTTGCGTCGCTCATACAGGCTTACTTTCCAAAAGATTTGCAAGTTTCGCACTATGTCAGACTCGCCACTAGCTACCTGTGGACGAGCAAGTAGGACAACTTTATGTAAACATATCACCAAAATCATTGACAATTAGAAGGACCACTTATTTTTTATGATCCACCTGGAATAAGAACATCCTCCATTTTACCTTTAAGGCATTTGATAACTAAAGTCTGTTTTTTGCTTTGATAATTCTATACGCTTGGTACGTTATGGCTCTGGTATTTTCTTTCCCGCAGTAACATATTTTCTGGGAAAATAAATACTTTTATTCACAAAATTTTTGCAGTCACGTTATTTTACAGTTAGACATTATATAATAAACACAATTTGGTTTCAAATGAAATTTATTTATGATTATTCACCTGACCTGTTCATTTTATTGAGTCTCAATATAGTTTTTATTTAACCACTGATATAATCCCTCATACACATTCCATAGAGTGCATAATGTACCTTTCTCCTCAGCCTTTCATAAATCATACCCTGGGACTCATATATACAGGCAAACAGATTTAATTGAAAAAAAAAATGGAAGGAAGCTGAGGATGAGCATCTGAGGAACAATACTTCTCCCTTGACAGTTAGAGCTGCTTCCAGTCTCTGATTTACAAGAGAAGTAACATGTCGGACTCATAGGATACACACCAAATAAAAGGGCTGACCTCTGGCTTTACTGATAAATATTAGGCTTTAGTGGCTAAACTACATTATAGAGTATTGAGAAATAAAATTCTAATGGCTGAACAAATAGAAAGAAATGAGTAAAGTCACTCTTTGTAGCTTAAGATTGAGGTAGCAGTTCCATAAATGGTAATACTGAAGGTTTTTTAATCTGTAATCACCATATCTATAAAATTGATTTGTAAACAGTCAAGATACCCAAAGTCACAGAAAAATTCTGTTTTCTAGTCTTTCAAAAGTGACTTTAAAAAGTGAAATATTGTGTTTCCACCTTTATTTTTGCACACACTGAAGTGCAAAGTTTATTGTGGTTCAAAAAGTCTTGAATATGTGAGTTGTTACACATTCAACCCACTCATTCTCTTAAAGTATAATATTCGGCATTCACTGGGTGCTTTTATCTAAATAGCCATGGAGTAGTTGTTATACTTTTGGTTTTAGTGACCCCAGTGGGAATCAACCTCTTAAATTCCTCCAGCTTCTGTCCTCTTTCAGCGATACAGGACCACATTATCAGCAGCATCGGAGAGTGGCTCTTAACGCGGCCCATTCCACACACTTGGTGCTGTGGTTAATGTGCTTTAAAAGTAGTTGCTGGTGCTGATATGCTACAGGTAAGATGCGTGTTTGTGTTTTATCGCTTTACTCCTTTCATAATGGTTTAAACCTTCCGAATTTGGAGTTTGCTATATCAGCTACATTATAAGGAATTATCTAAATGTGAAGCATGTGGCAAACCTATTCTCAATTACATTGTGGTGTTAGACTCAATTTTAAACCTTTTTAATGAAACAAGTCCAGATGAGGGCAAAGCAATTTTGTGAAATGGTAATTAAGATGTAATCGACAGTGCCTGCCTATGGGCACAGACCTAAATTGAAAACTCCAAGACCTTACGTCATCTCCAGTGTAAAACGCAT